TTAAATACCGCAGCAATTAATCAAATATTAATTCTAAAAACGTATCTTGTCTAATATCAACAAACGGAACAAAAAGCTCCATTTATTTTTTGATTATGTCAAGGGTGATTGCAAAGCCAAAATCAGTAACAATCGATGCATGAATGACTATAATCACTTTCGAATTCCGCCGTTCAGTACTGAAGTGAGGCGAGATTTAGGTCGAAGTTTCAGGGTCTAAATTATGTGGTCATGCTCAAATGTATTATATAGAGGTTAAAAAGTAACATATGTCATATTTTGTGCAAATCGTCGCCACGCTCGTTTAGATTGGTCGTTCACCGTCATTTATGATCTATTGGAGTATAACATGGAAGATTGGCTATCTCCTCTAAGATATGTTCTTCGTTAAAAAAGGAGTCCACAAAAGACAATTCCATTTGGACAAAACGTTTCACTTTGTAATAAACTACACTGTAGATTTTATTATTCTCACACCTTTAAATGTATTTCTATACCTATTTTAACACAACTGCGTATTAACATTAACATAACCTGCCGCCAAATTTGTTTGAAATTGACGACATGTAACGTATGTTAAAAACATAATATTAAAGAGCAAAAATGAAAGCTACATCTGAGAAGTGCTCTCTAGTGGTGCTTTTAATCACGATACAGAAGGTGTGGTTCTAACTTTTGAGTCTGTAGTTGAAATCCTAAAGTGTGACATCAAATGAAGGCTATTGAGCAGTACTGTATAAAGCTACTGAGAAGAACTTTTGTCGTATATTATGCTTTACAGATGGTTCTAGTATTTCAGGTCATGAAACAAAAATTGGGGAAGGTTGCATGCAGGCCTTGGGGCCTAATCAGATGTCCTCGAAGGAATGACTCTCTCGCTCTGCAGGCTTCCATCGTCCAAACTGGTCTCTTCCTCTCCATTACACTTCCATGAAAAGTCTTAAAATCCTCAAGAATCAATCCCTAGGGCCAGATGCTGTAGTCTATGGCCCGTACCGCTACAAAACATGGTGGTATGCTGATGCTTTTTTTATTTATAGACTCGATCCTAGGGACAACCCTAAAAGGAAATGAAAGCCAACGATGAGTTTGAGTCAGTGCTTAACCGTAATCACTATAGCCAATTTTATTTCTAAGGGAACGAGTAGGAGATGACACTCGGAACTATAAGCAATTATTTTGTGCAGGCACCATATGGCGATGTCCAAAGTCATTTTGGGGGATGGAATCAAGTGTGTTGCCAGTACTTTCTGCAAGGTCCTCAAATAATACATCATGTTAAATACATCGATTTTAATTAAAGGCTCTTTTTGCCACAACATGGTAACGTATAAAGAAAACAAACTAAGAGATTTTAAAACTCCTTTGCCGTTCCCATTTTCCCTCTCTTTAACAGAGACATGCAATTTTTTGGTTTAAATGTGTATCAGCTGAACGCTGAAGAACAATGTAAAAGAAAACCAAACCACTGAATAATTAGGATACATGTCCTCTTCAGACTAATTTATGGCCTTGCCGATAGTTGTTGAGACAAATAAAGATTCAGAAGATTAGAAAACCATTCCATGTCATCAATAACTAGAGAGGGCTCTTAATATCGTGAGCATAAATCTGCAAAGATGATCGTACTATGCAACAATCAACCCTGCAAGAGAAAAAGACATCGATAAAGAAGCCAAATACAGCGGAGTTATAGCTGTTAATTTTATCGTGTTATGAACTGTTCACTCGGTCATTCATTACTACATCTCTTTAGGTTCTCTTTCATCAGTCAGGTATTTAAAACATAATTCTGATAAATATTAGGTTGCAACATAAAGTAGTATGCATTTCTATATCTCAAAATTTCATGAACTTTTCCATTTAGCTTCGCCTGCTGTCTTATGGAACGTGACTCGCGTCATAGGGAGCATGAATATTTTACTGAGTCCTTGAACGATATAAGTTGTGGGACAATTGCAAAACAGGGATTTCTGTAGATCAAAATGGTATGTCAGTCTTCTGATACGTAACATTCATTAAGCATTCATTTTCTTTCTCCTGTATCTTTAAACACGTATTTTTCCAGTTGTTGAAAACTGCACACGCAGTATCTATCTTATTTAATAACAGAATTTTTCTTACTTGGATACGACTTGAGACAGTCTCTTTTTTCACGTTCATGGCGACGAATTTGTCATCCCTCGAAGTTGAACTGAAACCGGCTCGCTCTCTTAATTAACTGTCAAAAAGCGATTTTTTTCTGCAACGCATAAAAGCGCACAAAGCGCCCCGTCCTGTTTCTGTTCATAACAATATAGATCACTCTTTCACATTTGACCATCGAATAAGTCTTAAAGAAGGCTGAAGAAAAAATCGAAAATTACCGAGACTTGTGTGGAAATGTAAAGAAGTTAATTGTGCTTGTACCGATCGTCATCGGTGCCCTCGGAACAGTCAGTAAAAGATTCCATATGTATCTAAAGAAAGCAGGAATCGATGGAAGTGATTCTACCATTACTGGCAACATCAAGGATTATAAGAAAGGTGATGGATACCTAAGGTGACGGTGAATGAGGTCACGGACCAAGCTAAACCGTGCTAACTGACAATAATAATAATAATAATACTAAAAATACTGCAACTAATAATAATAATAATATCGCAGGGGTTATGGAACTTTGTGAACAGCTCTTACCATCCCGAGTTTATGCGGCTTATAATACCAGTACTTCAGACGAAATGAACACCATGCGCAGAATGTGCGGTAAGGTGCCAGAAAGCCTTGCTCACGTTTTGGCGGGATGTTCGTCCCAGACTAAGTAGATGGACACTCAGGCATAATGTTGCTCTAAAAGCTCTGTTCTTTGAAATGCTCATTTCAAGCTTGCTGACTCTGTTAGTACTCGCGGGTGGAGCCCAAAGCGTTGTACGAGTCAGAAAACGATCAAGAATTCTGTGATGTTCCTGTTTATGCAGAACAAGCCTTCGTCTGAGCCAACAGGGTATACTTGGATGCGCGATTTGTAGACCACTGCTGTTAAGGGTCGAAATGAGCTGTCCATGGTTGGGTAATCGCTAGAAGAAGGATTTTGAGAAGACAGAGAAGTAGCAACCACTGCGGTGGGACCAAACAGTACCCAGGCTTAAGGATCGTACAAGTGAACGTGATTGGTGGATTTCGATCCGTTTTGTTTGTGTCATGTTTCAAGGTTCGTTGCTTTGTGATCGTCCTGTTTCGGGCAATAATCGACTAGTTAAGGTTACTTCGCATATCTTCTCTTATTTTTTCATTTGCAAGAATAAAGCAACGTCTGCCTCCTTCCTTCGACAAAAAATCCACTCACCATCGCGATTTCTTTCGCTATTCTTGAGCAGTCTAGAGTCATTCTCATCCAAGCTGGGCGAGCACGTTACATTGTGATTTGCATTATCCCCGCCTTCACTAAAATGCTTGACGGAACAGAACTGAACCCAAAATCCCTTCAAAGTTTGCAATACGCGCAGCGCGATACAGCGAATTTCGCTGTAAATTCTTGTAAAGCAGCATAGGCTACGCTTTGCGCCCTATGTGGCTAATTTTCTAAGCACGTATATGTTTTAAACTGCTACAGTGATAATAATAATAATAATAATAATAATAATGATGATGATGATAATAATAATAATGTATTTATCTATGTGTATTTCGAAAAAATAATAATAATAGAATAAAATAAAATAAAATGAAAAAGTCAATTACCTTTTCTGCAACGCTGATGAAACATACAATTGAGCGTTCCGTCCCGGTTCTGTTCATGATCAGTCGGAGGGCTTCCATTTAGTGGGAGCCAACGGTGCATTAATGGAAGAAAGTATGGTTGGTCGATAGAAACTGGCCTACTTTGGGTGTTTTTGTGATTCTGAAAAAATATTATGCGTTTTTAGGCCTGCTGAAATTGGCATTTTAACACGACAGGAGAGCAAATTTTAAAGCATGCATTTTCCTTACTTTTAAAAATTGCAAAAATTAGGGCTTCATTTTTCGGCTCAAGGCAAAACCTGTGCCATAAAGTTTCAACAAATTCTTCAGTCGCCTCACTTTATAAATCGCAGAACACTCATGTGTACAAAGATTTGAGGGACACGTGATTTAATGAGATGTGAAATGTTATCATTTAGCAACATCTTTATCTAATTTGGATACGTTATCATTACAAACATCTGTCGATACAAACATGAATTAATTTAAAGGTTTTATTTTAGTTCATGATCAGTTATTATTTTTTTTTTCTTGCCCTCTGGCAAAATAAAAAAGGAAAAACAAATTCAAAAATACTTTAAACTTACAAGGAAAGAACCATGTTTTCATAACTCACCTGCACCTAATACAGCAACACATTACACCGTCCAACAAGGTTTTCGAACAGTCTAGCATTTAACATTTTGCATACAGCTTTTAAAGGGTTACCGATAGTGAATAGGACTTTCCTGATTGTGCTCGTAAAATGCTGAAAAGTTGCCACTGGAATGCCAAAACGTTGCTACCTACATTTCAAAAGTTATTTTTATATAAACGTCAATTAAAAGTTTTATTTTTCGTTCTTCACAATAATTACTAACAACATCGGTCAAGAAAAAAAAAAATAAATAAATAAAAGAAAAAATTTTCAAAAATTTAAAAATTGAAGTTCTCTATTGAAATCGTTGACTTTTGCGTGCTTGTTATGTGCTCCAAACCTATATTTTGGTCAAAAGTTGCTCAGAAAGGCAAATCTGCTCGAGGTTGCTAGAACAGCAAAAAGTTGCTCCAAACGCCAAAAGTTGCTCAAAAGTTGCCGAGCACAATCGGGAAAGGCCTAATAGAGGAATGTTAAATCATCCTGATCACGTCATAGATAATTGTTTCTTTGAGGCCCCGTTATTATACTTTAATATTTAAAGGTAAAGTAAAAAATTAAGTGATGTTTGTCGCTTTAATTCAGAGCTTTGGATCAGACCTCTTTCCCCTTTTATTGACCGTGATAGCCAGGGGTGGAGTCATGGCTCTTGGAGTACTTTCTGTGTTATGTTGGAGAAAGTTTAAGAACCTCAGTTTCATGGAACAGTTCCTTGACTACAGACAAGTTCCTACTGCTACAGAGGCCAATGAAAATACTGAGTCTATAAAGGAGAACGGACATGTTGAAAAAGTCAAGGAACCAAATGACAAGCGAATTCAACAGAAAGGTCTGCCGCTTATACTGTTTGTGTATTATTAGAGGCGCGATGTAACGGTTGTCTGGTTTATTTTGTTATAATTATTATGGAACTTAACGTTATCAAAGAAATTGCTTGTAAAAGATAAAATCACAGCTTCCTGTCCAACAAATATACCTCTCAAGCATAGATCTAACTTTAGACACAACAAATGAACTTTGAAAACCCGTTAACCTAACAAGTTTTCAAAATCCTCAATTGCATGCAATCCGTTTTAATCATTCTCAAGTTTGTCCATCGGTGCCTCCTTTAGTATTTGTTGTGTTATCCATACTCTTGTTTAACGTTTTGAGCGGTTATTTTTATATTTCACCCGGATTTGGTGGTGGTTCCCAGCGTTTGAATCTTGATATCCCGAACTTTAAGTCCGTAAATGTGATCTTTGTTTTACGAACTATAGTGCGACCATCTCTAGTAAGCGACCATCGATATAAAACACCTATATTTTTCCTGTTAAAGCCCTACAGTTGGAACCTCTCGTAAACGACCACCTGTCGTTGGCTTGTACGGCGACCGCGTCCACTTTTTGGGAAAATTGTAGCCTGCGTAGCAGGCGCTTGGAAGTAGTGGGCACCAGAAAAAAGGGGCGCGCGAGTAGGAGACACCCGACGCCTGTGTCCCTCGCGCGCCCGTTCTCTCTTTCGCCAGCTACTTCCAAGCGCCTGCTACGCAGGCTAGGACAATTGTTTTGACACATGGTCTGATCTCTATGTTCGCTGTACGTATACTATGCTATTAGAATTTGCGACTAACCGTTACTGATAACATGGAACTACCCACATCAAAAATAAAGAGTCAGTTCTGCTTCGAATCTGTACCAGTGAGCATATTTAATTTACAACAGGGCCATTACTCAAACTACATTTGTCTTCCCTTACTTTTCCCTTTTTTAATGTTTTATTTAAGATTGAAAAAAAGAAAAAACTTTTTAAATGATGCGATGAAACAAGGACTTGAGTTTGCACACATTTTTTTTAAATTTAACTCTTTTTAGAAAAAGGTGAGAACAATGTTTAGAGCCAGTTCACAAACAAAATGTTTCGGTTTCGTACATTTAATTTTTAAACCTTTTGTTTCCCTTTCTAGTAGGTGACGAAGAGAAAAAGAAGAAGATTCCTCCTAGACAATATCCGGTGTCGAACCCACCACCCTGGATCCCCAAACCGGAAGTCAGTGTAGTATCTGTTCAGCCTCAGGATTCTTCGATTAAGGACGATGACGAGGTTCCTTATTCCAGCTCAGACGAAGAAGAGATGGTCACGGTAAATAAATTTATGAATGTTAAAAACGCTTTAAAAACCGGCAAATTATCCTCTTCCCGCCATGTATTCGTGCCTTGACATTTTCAAGAACCTGTTTACTTTTAGGTCGATTGCAAGAGTTCCACAAATCAATCAGAAACATGAGTCAGAACTGGTGTTTTTGATAGCTAACGTTTAATTTTTGTTTTTCAGTTTCATACTATCTGATGCGTATACTCTCTTATTTCGACAGAAGTAATCTAAAACGTGTCTTAGAATAATCCGTTTTCTAAAAGCATCATGGCACGGTTTAGTGTGGAAGGTGCACAAGAACCAGCATTCGGTTAGGCAACAACTACATTAATATTCAACTCAAATCAAGTTCTTTCCCTTAGCACTCGACCCTCTAAAGTTCCGAACAATTTAAGCACTTGTCTAACAAACTGCTTTTTATAACTGCCGACAGCAGGTGAACCTAGTCCTTTCTATAACTTTTAACGTAAATTCAACTTGGGCTAAACGCCGTTTTTTGTAAGGCTATTCAAAAACGTATTATTTAGTTACCGTATTTATTCTAATAAGCGCCCAACCTCGAATTAGCGCCCAATCTCGAATAAGCGCCCATCCTAAAGGCAGAAAAAGTTAATAAGCGCCCAGCCTCGAATAAGCGCCCACCCTCTCCTCCTCACGGCGATCAAACTCAAATAAGCGCTCACCCCCAACCCACCCACATGAGTGAATAAATTCTAATAACAGACTTCCCCGAGGACGAAGTTTTCTTCAGAGTATTTTACAGAAACCTTGGTTTGTTACTTCTTCGCGTTTTGTTATTAGCTTTTTGTTGTTTTGTTGCAAAATAAACATACTTCACTTGCTGAAAATGGTGAAAATTTAATAAGCGCTCAGCCTCGAATAAGCGCCCACCTCGAATAAGCGCCCACTCTCATGGTCCAAAAATTCAGAATAAGCGCCCAGAGCGGTTAATCGAATAAATACGGTACACTTTATGGTAACTTAATCCAGGGAATATATAGCATCTATCATGACTAAAAGCTTGGTTAGCAATAGTGGCATCTATCGTTAAAAAGGGCAACAGGGAGCTTGCGACGCCTATTACTCTTTCTTAAACAGTCGTTACCATTTATAACGGTCGGTGCTAATATTGGCAACCAAGCATTAACCAAGCTTTTTCTAGGGAAACAATTTTAAACCTTGTTTAACTGGACTGCTTTTAAACGCGTTTAAACTTTATGTAAATGGAGTGTATACTTCTCCTAACTAAATCACCAACTATTTTGACGTTTGTCTTTATTCATAGTCCACAGTCCCTCGAGAAAATATAACGCCATACGACCTATCAGACTCAGGCCCCCCGGAGCGATTTACTCCACCGAGTGAAGCAGAATTCCTCGGTCGAGTATACTTTTCTCTTCAGTTTGATGTTCTATTTTTCTCGCTTCCTCCCAAACCGCCCCCGCCCCCTAAGTAGTTTTGACACTCATCTAAGATGGCAGCCCGTAACGCAAAGCGCTCGATCTCGATGATCTTACGGAAAAATAGGGGACTGTGAACAGTCTAATATGACTTTAAATACCGCAGCAATTAATCGAATATTAATTCTAAAAACGTATCTTGTCTAACATCAACAAACGGAACAAAAAGCTCCATTTATTTTTTGATTCTGTCAAGGGTGATTGCAAAGCTAAAGTCAGTGACAATCGATGCATGAATGACTATAAAATTAATCACTTTCGAATTCCTCCGTTCAGTACTGAGGTGAAGCGAGATTTAGGTCGAAGATTCAGGGTCTAAATCATGTTGTCATGCTCAAGTGTATTATATAGAGGTTAAAAAGTAACATATGTAATATTTTGTGCAAATCATCGACACGCTCGTTTAGATTGGTCGTTCACCGTCATTTATGATCTAGTGGAGTATAACATGGAAGATTGGCTATCTCCTCTAAGATATGTTCTCCGTTAAAAAAGGAGTCCACAAAAGACAATTCCATTTGGACAAAACGTTTCACTTTGTAATAAACTACACTGTAGATTTTATTATTCTCACACCTTTAAATGTATTGCTATACCTATTTTAACCCAACTGCATATTAACATTAACATAACCTGCCGCCAAATTTGTTTGAAATTGACGACATGTAACGTATGTTAAAAACATAATATTAAAGAGCAAAAATGAAAGCTACATTTGAGAAGTGCTCTCTAGTGGTGCTTTTAATCACAATACAGAAGGTGTGGTTCTAACTTTTGAGTCTGTAGTTGAAATCCTAAAGTGTGACATCAAATGAAAGCTATTGAGCAGTACTGTATAAAGCTACTGAGAAGAACTTTTGCCGTATATTATGCTTTACCAGATGGTTCTAGTATTTCAGGTCACGAAACAAAATTGGGGAAGGTTGCATGCAGGCCTTGGGGCCTAATCAGGTGTCCTCGAAGGAATGACTCTCTCGCTCTTCAGGCTTCCATCGTCCAAACTGGTCTCTTCCTCTCCATTACACTTCCATGAAAAGTCTTAAAATCCTCAAGAATCAATCCCCAGGGCCAGATGCTGTAGTCTATGGCCCGTACCGCTACAAAACATGGTGGTATGCTGATGTTTTTTTTATTTATAGACTCGATCCTAGGGAGAAGCCTAAAAGGAAATGAAAGCCAAGGATGAGTTTGAGTCAGTGCTTAACCCTAATCACTATAGCCAATTTTGGTTCTAAGGGAACGAGTAGGAGAGAACACTCGGAACGAGGTTCTGCTCGCTCCTCTGTAAGCAATTATATTGTGTAGGCACCATGGCAGTGTCCAATGTTATTTTGGGATGGAACTCAAGTGTTTGCCCGTACTTTCTGTAAGGTCCTCAAATAATACATCATGTTAAATACATCGATTTTAAATAAAGGCTTTTTTTGTCACAACATGGTAACGTATAAAGAAAACAAACTAAGAGATTTTAAAACTCCTTTGCCGTTCCCATTTTCCCTCTCTTTAATGGGGACATGCAATTTTTTGGTTTAATTTTTTATCAGCTGAACGCTAAGAACAATGTAAAAGAAAACCAAACCACAATAATTAGGATACATGTCCTCTTCAGACTAATTTATGGCATTGCCGATAGTTGTTGAGACAAATAAAGATTAGAAAACCATTCCATGTCATCAATAACTAGAGAGGGCTCTTAATATCGTGAGCATAAATCTGCAAAGATAATCGTACTATGCAACAATCAACCCTGCAAGAGAAAAAGACATCGATAAAGAAGCCAAATACAGCGGAGTTATAGCTGTTAATTTTATCGTGTTATGAACTGTTCACTCGGTCATTCATTACTACATCTCTTNAACCATTCCATGTCATCAATAACTAGAGAGGGCTCTTAATATCGTGAGCATAAATCTGCAAAGATAATCGTACTATGCAACAATCAACCCTGCAAGAGAAAAAGACATCGATAAAGAAGCCAAATACAGCGGAGTTATAGCTGTTAATTTTATCGTGTTATGAACTGTTCACTCGGTCATTCATTACTACATCTCTTTAGCTTCTCTTTCATCAGTCAGGTATTTAAAAAAATAATTCTGATAAATATTAGGTTGCAACATAAAGTAGTATGTATTTCTATCTCTCAAAATTTCATGAACTTTTCCATTTAGCTTTGCCTGCTGTCTTATGGAACGTGACTCGCGTCATAGGGAGCATGAATATTTTACTGAGTCCTTGAACGATATAACTTGTAGGACAATTGCAAAACAGGGATTTCTGTAGATCAAAATGGTATGTCAGTCTTCTGATACGTAACATTCGTTTAGCATTCATTTTCTTTCTCTTGTATCTTTAAACACGTATTTTTCCAGTTGTTGAAAACTGCACATGCAGTATCTATCTTATTTAATAACAGAATTTTTCTTACTTGGATACGACTTGAGACAGTCTCTTTTTTCACGTTCATGGCGACGAATTTGTCATCCTTCGAAGTTGAACTGAAACCGGCTCGCTCTCTTAATTAACTGTCAAAAAGCGATTTTTTTCTGCAACGCATAAAAGCGCACAAAGCGCCCCGTCCTGTTTCTGTTCATAACAATAATGATCACTCTTTCACATTTGACCATCGAATAAGTCTTAAAGAAGGCTGAGGAAAAAATCGAAAATTACCAAGACTTGTGTGGAAATGTAAAGAAGTTAATTGTGCTTGTACCGATCGTCGTCGGTGCCCTCGGAACAGTCAGTAAAACATTCCATATGTAGAAAAAGAAAGCAGGACTCGATGGAAGTAATTCTACCATTACTGGCAACATCAAGGATTATAAGAAAGGTGATGGATACCTAAGGTGACGGGCCTATGAGGTCACGGACCAAGCTAAACCGTGCTAACTGACAATAATAATAATAATACTAATACTACTACTACTACTACTACTACTACTACTACTAATAATAATAATATCGTAGGGGTTATGGAACTTTGTGAACAGCTCTTACCATCCCGAGTTTATGCGGCTTATAATACCAGTACTTCAGACGAAATTAACACCATGCGCAGAATGTGCGGTAAGGTGCCAGGAAGCCTTGCTCACGTTTTGGCGGGATGTTCGTCGCAGACTAAGTACATGTACACTCAGGCATAATGTTGCTCTAAAAGCTCTGTTCTTTGAAATGCTCATTTCAAGCTTGCTGACTCTGTTAGTAGTCGCGGGTGGAGCCCAAAGCGTTGTACGAGTCAGAAAACGATCAAGAATTCTGTGATGTTCCTGTTTACGCAGAACACGGTTTGTGATCGTCTGAGCCAACAGGGTGTACTTGGATGCGCGATTTGTAGACCACTGCTGTTAAGGGTCGAAATGAGCTGTCCATGGTTGGATAATCGCTAGAAGAAGGATTTTGAGAAGACAGAGAAGTAGCAACCACTGCGGTGGGACCAAACAGTACCCAGGCTTCAAGATCGTACGGGTGAACGTGATTGGTGGATTTCGATCCGTTTTGTTTGTGTCATGTTTCAAGGTTCGTCGCTTTGTGATCGTCCTGTTTCGGGCAATAATCGACTAGTTAAGGTTGCTTCGCAGATCTTTCTTATTTTTTCACTTGCAAGAATAAAGCAACGTCTGCCTCCTTCCTTCGACAAAAAATCCACTCACCATCGCGATTTCTTTCGCTATTCTTGAGCAGTCTAGAGTCATTCTCAGCCAAGCTGGGCGAGCACGTTACATTGTGATTTGCATTATCCCCGCCTTCACTAAAATGCTTGACGGAACAGAAGTGAACCCAAAATCCCTTCGAAGTTTGCAATACGCGCAGCGCGATACAGCGAATTTCGCTGTAAATTCCTGTAAAGCAGCATAGGCTACAATTTGCGCCCTATGTGGCTAATTTTCTAAGCACGTATATGTTTTAAACTGCTACAATGATAATAATAATAATAATAATAATAATAATAATAATAATAATGATGATGATGATGATGATAATAATAATAATAATAATAATGTATTTATCTATGTGTATTAAGAAAAAAAAAATAGAATAAAATAAAATAAAATGAAAAAGTCAATTACCTTTTCTGCAACGCTGATGAAACATGCAATTTAGCGTTCCGTCCCGGTTCTGTTCATGATCAGTCGGAGGGCTTCCATTTAAGGAAGAAAGAATGGTTGGTTGATAGAAACTGACCTACTTTGGGTGTTTTTGAGATTCTGAAAAAATATTATGCGTTTTTAGGCCTGCTGAAATTAGCATTTTAACACGACAGGAGAGCAAATTTTAAAGAATGCATTTTCCTTACTTTTAAAAATTGCAAAAATTAGGGCTTCATTTTTCGGCTCAAGGCAAAACCTGTGCCATAAAGTTTTAACAAACCCTTCAGTCGCCTCACTTTATAAATCGCAGAACACTCATGTGTACAAAGATTTGAGGGACACGTGATTTAATGAGATGTCAAAATGTTATCATTTAGCAACATCTTGATATAATTTGGATACGTTATCATTATGCACCAGTCATTTGAAACCCCCGGACCCCCCCCTCGGGGATGACCGGGGTATTGCGGGGACATTCACTTCATGTTCACCAAATATTGGTTCCCCGGTAGTCGGGGGATACGCTAAAAGTCACGGTCTTTGCCTCCCGGACCGGGGGATAAGCGGGGCAGTCACTTTATGGTCAGCGGTTTTCATTTTCGCGCCGCATACTAATTCCGCATGATTCCGCATACATTTTCATCGCTTCGTACCGTGACGATGTTTTGCAAAGTTAAATATCGAGGCGTAAAAAAAGCGGTCATAGCCGATGACTTGAAGAGTTTGGTGAACAAAGGTAGGCATATTTTCACTGATATTATGTAGATTTGTAATTATAATATGCTTTAAAATGCATCTAATGCACCGATACCATCTTATTCGCGAATTCTTCATAAACACTTGACCTGGCTTGACCTATCGACAGCTAGAAACGACACTTAAAGCTTAAACTATGCATTTTTTTGCGCTCTTTGGCTTGATATCAAAGTGAGCATAACTTTTCTATAACTTCCCTTCTGTTTGGATTTCGATACATTGACCAAAAAGCTATGAAAAGGGGTTTATGAAAAGTTTTTATATTCCGATCACGCATGCTTTCAGTCACGTGCCAGATCAGCCAACGCGAAATTCGATCCATACAACTTCGTGCTTCCTACGCATTCTTTTATAGGGCTTTTTGCATTTGGTTGGTAAAATTCGATAGGTATAATTTATAATTTTGTGATCTTGCTTTTTGTGACATCAAGATGTAAAATAGAAAGATGACGCTGAAATCTTTAAATACTTGTCTTTTCTTGTCTATCGAGGGGTTGCAAGTGTTGCCATTGCTGCTGCGAAAGCAAGTTGTTAATTTCACGGCTGTCATCCTATATGTCATCTCTTGCTACTAGTTGACGTTTGAAAGGGAGTACCTTGTATGTTGGACATATGGGGGCGGGGGAGTTCACCATTCACTTTTGCCCCAGGGACCGGGGAGTTCACTGGCTCTCACATGCATAAAAAGTGAATGCCCCGCTAATGCCCGAGGGGGGGGGTCCGGGGGTTTCAAATGACTGGTGCAT